TGAGTTCAGTCTCCAGTACTGAAAAAATATATATATTTATCTTCATTAATAAATGCAAATTTAAAAACAACACACTATTTTTCTCACGAGTACAGAGAAATGATACCATGTATTTTTTTTAAAGAGAGAGAGAGAGAGAGAGAGAGAGAGAGAGAATTTTTAAATACTTTTTATTTTTCCGCGGACACAACATCTTTGTTTGTATGTGGTGCTGAGGATCGAACCCGGGCCGCACACATGCCAGGTGAGCGCGCGCTACCGCTTGAGCCACATCCCCAGCCTGATACCATGTATTTGTAGGTTAACATGGTAATATGTTTTTTAAATGTACTTTAGCTCAGCATTTCCATTTCCTGGAATTTATTGTTGGAAATAATCAAAGTTAAGCATAAAGATTTATATGCAAAAATGTTTTACAATCTTATTTATAATGTCAAAAATTGGATATAGCCTGAAAATCAAACAAAAAGGGATTGAAATATGGTCACTTAAAAATCATGTAGAATATATCTGTACAACCAGACAAAAGAGAAATTACAGTCCGTATATATATGATGTGTTGTCAAAATGATTCTAATTAGAACAAATGAAAATAAAATTTAAAAATAAAATAAAAATCACGTAGAAGAATTTTTATTTTGGTACCAGGGATTGAACCTAGAGGCGCTTAACCACTGAGCCACATCCCCAGCCTTTTTTTTTTTTTAATTTTATTTAGAGACAGGGTCTCACTGAGTTGCTTAGGGCCTTGCTAAGGTACTGAGGCTGGCTTTGAACTTGTGATCCTCCTGCCTCAGCCTTCCAAGCTGCTAGGATTATAAGCAGGCGCCACTACACCTCACTAAGTAGAAAAATTTTTAACATCAGAAATATATTCATGATACACAGTTAAGTAACAAAAGCAGACTCCAAATTCAAATATATGTGTACTTGTTGGATTTATAAAAATAAATTGGTATTAATAAAAGTAATTTTCTCACTTTCCTGTATTTCACAGATTTCTATAATTTTTTTTTAACTGGTGGGGGTGCCTGAAAGTAGAAAAATTCCAATTTGAACTAAGAAATCACTGGCTAGTAGCTGTGTAAACTGAAACATAGTACTGTACTTGTCATTTTAGGCTTTAGATTTCTCAAGAGAAAATGGAGATAATAAAAGGCTATCTGTTGTTGAGGAATATTAGGAGTGAAGTTTACATGCACTTTGATCATTTTTTGATTTCTTATGATCTACATGCACTCTTATAAGATGAAAAAATTAAATGTCATCTTATTTTGAAAAATAATTACAAATAGTTTAAGTGGAAATAGTAATGGAGGAACTAAGTGGGAGATAGTTAATAGAGGTATAATCTAACATTAATATGCTCCCTAACTATTAATTGTGGTTGCCCTGGGAAGTGGGATTGGGTGGAAGATAGGGAAGAGCTTTCAGTTTTTAACTGTTTAGTCTTCCCTATTATTTGAAGGGTTTGTTTTTATAAACAAATATAATACTTCTGTAATAATTTTTAAACATGGCCATATACCCTTCCCCACACCCTGGATACCTTTTACACAACTTTATTTTTTTTATAGCCCTTCTTAACTTCTTCTGACTTAGCCATTTATTGCACAATAGGAGTTGTTAAATTAATGAATTTTACTAAAAACTTATTTCAGCCAGGCACAAGTAGCACCTATAATCCCAGCGACCCAGGAGGCTGAGGGAGGAGGATCCCAAATTGGAAGGCAGCTTCAGCAATTTAGCCAGGCTCTAAGCAACTCAGAAAGACCCTGTCTCAAAAAACCAAACCAAACCAAAACAAAACAAAACAAAACACCTATTTCACTGTCTTTACATGGTTATTGCTCAATTAACATTTGCAAATGGATGATTTCTCAAAGGTAGTATAGCTACTTTCTGGACTGATTCTGAGCCTATTCCAGGGAGATGTTTGTTTTATGGTACTGGGGAATCAAACACAGGACCGTGCGCATGCGAGGAAAGTGTCTTAACACTGAGCCATACTCCCAGACCATCAGAGAGGTTCCTTTTGCCTCACATTACCTCCCTAGAAGTGATTTGTTTTGGATTTTTATCAATTATTTGAAGATCATAGGGACACATTTGTTTTATGTTATAAAAATCTATCTACAAACCTGCAAGTATACTACCATTTTTCATTGATATTAAAAAGCAACAACAACAACAACAAAAAAAAAAACTCAACATTCCCCTCTATCCTAGGATTATTCTGTCTGGTTACACACCAAGGGAAGTTGTTTATTGCATTTTTATGAACAAGTATCCCTATTGACTCTCCCCTGTCTACATGCAGCTGAATTTCTCTTACAGATTAGCTCTCAAGGTTACTCATATAGTGTTTCTCATACAGATAATCTTAATTATGAGGTTAAAATTCTCAGTTGGTCTTCTCAAGTGTAAAGAACCAAACTTTTCTGAATTTTGCTAGTTCCACTTATTTTCGCACAATTTTCCATCCCCTCAGATTCCAGGGAGACAGCTTCTCTTCAGTTAAATGTCTTAAATGAGGTGCTAAGGAGGTCCAGGTTTTGTTTTCCATGAAAACCTTCCATAAAAGGAAAAAGAGGAATATTAATGTATCTTTTCTTGGAATTCTGGGGAATAGTGTAAATCACTTTACACTTTCTTTACACATTTAATTTACAACCACAGTAAAGATATGTATACTCATATTTAACAAATCATAACAAAAAATAAAATAAAAAATAATTTAAAAAAGATATGTATATTCCCTTTCATTTTTTCTTCTTCAAAAGCTTGTACTATGCTCCTAATAAGGGCAAGCTTATCATAAAGATAATAAACATGTGGACCTTGCCCTCAAAGAATCTTAACAGGATCTAAACTCATAAATATATATGCATATTTACACCAAATTGATTTGGCTTCCTTATTTCAGATTTAATAACAATTATTCTTGCTTTTTTTGTTTTCCCAGTGTGAGGCAGGAACTCTACCAATAAGCTACAGCCCCAGCCCTCTATTTTGTATTTTATTTAGAGACAGGGTTTCACAGAGTTGCTTAGGGCCTTGCTAAATTGCTGAGGCAATTGAATTTGTAATCCTCCTGCCCCAGCCTCCCAAGCCACTGGGATTACAGGCATGTGCCACCATACCCAGCCAATCTGTTATCTCTTAAGTTACCTCAAAGTATATTTACCTAGCATTTGCCTATATTTTTGCTAGTAGAGTTTTACCCCTTCTACCATTATTGTCTCCCAATGGCTAAATCATGTAGAAAGTTTTCCTAGGATTTTTTAAAAAATATTTTTTAGTTGTAGATGGACAAAATTTCTTTATTTTGTTTATTTAGTTTTTTATGTGCTGTTGGGGAAATCTAACCTAGTGCCTCCTGCATGCTAGGCAAGTGCTCTACCACTGAGCCACAACCCCAGCCCAACAATACCTTTGTTTAAGCCACAATCCCAGCCCCAATACCTTTGTTTTAATGTGGTACTGAGGATCGAATCCAGTGCCTCACATGTGCTAGGTGAGTGCTCTACCACTGAGCCACAACCCCAGCCCTTGGGTTTCCTAGGATTTTTATGGCTCCTAATCTTATCCCAAAGCTAAGATGTCCCTATAGTCTTTCAAAATATTTCTTTTTCAATGAGAGCCTTCCCCCTTGCTATTGTAAATCTTTAGGCATTTTGAAAACGAGGTATATTTCATGTTTGCACAAACATAGAACTGCCATGCACAAAGTAGGTGGTCAATAAATTTTTGTCAAATTACTTTTTTAAAAAATAATTTTTAGTTGTTAGTGGATCTTTTATTTATTTATATGCAATGCTGAGGATAAACCCAGGGCCTCACACATGCCAGGCAAGCACTCTACCACTGAGACACAACTCCAACCCCTTGTCAAATGACTTTTAAAATAGAAGTTGAAATAATACTATAATGTACAGGGTGCTGACTATGACTATGACCTCTAACCTGGGCTTAAACCCTGACTGTGCATACAGTGACTTGGGCAAACTTTGACTTTGACTTTGGGTAAAATAGAATAAAGCACAAATACTAGACTATGAATATTGTGCGGGATGGACCAAATCTAACTATTGTATGCCTAATTCTTAGCACAGTTCTTGTATCTTAGATGCTTAATATTTGTTGAATGTTATTAGATAAAATGGATATAGATAATCCTTGACTTATTATGGTTCAACTTATATTTTTACTTTACAAGGAGTTTAGCCAGATAATAAATGCATTTTGAACTTAATATTTTTGACTTATGATGGGTTTATGGGGATATAACTCCATGACAAACTCATCATAAATCAAAGAGCTCTATAAATGTTATCCACAGTCACACCACCCAGGGATAACCATCTTTAATCATCTGGGATATATAATTCCAGTTTTTATCCATGTGTATGTTGTTTCTTTAGGGAAAAAAATGTATCATTTTGTAAAGCCCTGCTGTATTTGCTTAGTGCATGTGATGTTTGACTTTATGTTTCAACTTGACTGGGTCACCAGCTGCCGGGCTTTTGGTCAAACATTATCCTGGGTAGGTCTATGAGGTTGTTTCTGAGTGAGATTAACATTTGAGTCAAGCAGATTGCCTGCTTTATGTGGGCAGGCTTCATCCAAATATTTGGACCTTGATAGGGAAAAAAAAAAAAAAACTTTGGGTAGGAACTCCTTCTACCTGGCTGACTGAATGAGATAGCCATCTTTTCCTGCCTTCTAAACAGAACTGAAGAATTATCTCTTCTTGGGTTTCCATTCTGTCAGTTTGGAGATTAAAATTCACACTATTGGAACACCTCATTCTGGGGCCTTCAGACTCTCACTGGAACTACTATGCCAATGGCTTTCCTGAGTTTCCAGCTTGCAGATTGAAGATCTTGGGACTTCTCAGCCTCCTTAATTGCTTGAGCCAATTTTTTAAAAATATTTTTTTCTTTAGTTGTAGATGGCCAACAGTATATTTACTTTATTTATTTTTATGTGGTGCTAAGGATCAAGCCCAGTGCCTCAAGTGCCAGTCAAGCACTCTACCACTGAGCCACAACCCCAGCCCTTGAGCCAATTCTTTACAACAAATCTCCATAGAAAGATACATCGATAGGTAGGTAGATGATACAGATGTATGGATATGGATTTTTCTTTATTGGTTTGGTTTCTCTGGATAACCCTAATACAGTACATTGCACTATCAACAATTATCTAAGTCATTAAATTTTCTTTTTCAAGAATATAATGTTTGTAGAGTATACCATTGTAGGGTTCCTTTGTTATAAAAAATTTAGATTGCTTTCATTTTATATGTTATAAATAAATGCTGAAGTGAATATAACTTATATAAATATCCATGCATATTTCGATTATTTCTTTAGAACAATTATATAAGTAGCTGGGTACTGTGATGCATACCTATAATCTCAGTTACTCAGGAGGCTGAGGCAGGCAGTAGAATTACAAGTTCAAGAACAAGTTGCCTAAGCAACTTAGTTGAGACAAAAAAAAAAAAAAAAGATCTGGGCATGTGGCTCAGTGGTTGAGTGCTTGCCTAGCATTTGCAAAGCCCTGGGTTCAATCCCAGGTACAACTAATAATAATCATTATTATTTTAATTCCATAAATGAAATTGCTGAGTAAAAGAGTATGAAAAATGTATAAGCTTTTAAAGCATATTGTTAGGAGCTAGAGATATAACTCAGTGGAACAACGTATGCCTAACATGCATAAGATTTGATCTCCAGTACTGCAAAGAAAAAAAATGAATGTTATCAATTAGCTCTCCAAAGTGGTTACACCCATTTATACATCTGGCAACAAGTCTAAAAGGGCATTTGGTCACTGCAGCTTCATTAATACCAAGTGTTAATGATTTTTTAATCTGCCAAATTTGATTTTTAAAGATATCTTATTTTTCAATTTGATTTTGATTCACAGGCCAAACATTAAGCTTGTTAACTATTCATGTTCTTTGCTGATTTTTCTGTTGGAATGTTTTATCTGTCTTACTGATAAATAGGAACTCTATGTTAAGAACATAAGGCCTCAGTTTGGGTTGTAGCTCAGTGGTAGAGCACTTGCCTAGCATGTGTGAGTCACTGGGTTTGATCCTCAGTACCACATAAAAATAAATCAATAAAATAAAGATATTGTGTCCACCTACAACTAAAAAATAAATATTTTTTTAAAAGTATTAACTGATTGATAGTATTAACAATTAAATGACTATTTCTTCTCTTCTCTCTCTCTTTTTTTTTTTTTTTTTTTTGGACTGAGGATGGAGCCCAGAGGTTCTTTTACCACTGAGCCAAATCCCCATGGATGTGGCTTTTTTTTTGTGTGTGTGTGTGTGTGCTAGGGATTGAACCCATGGCCTCATGCATGAAAGGCAAGTACTCTACCAACTGAGACCCAGCTCTTTTTATTTTTATTTTGAGACAAGGTCTTGCTAAGTTGCTTAGGGCCTCACTAAATTGCTAAAGCTGGTCTTTAACTTGGGATCCTCCTGCCTCAGCCTCCTGAGTCACTAGGATTACAGGTGTGTCACCACACCTAGCTTAAATGCTTAAGTGACTATTTCATCTTGAATTTTAGTATATACAAATTGAAAACTATCATAACCATTTGATAAATGCTAATTTAGCTAAGTGCCAGTCATTATTGTTGGTCAAGACATACAAAAGACATGATCAGAAGACTGACACTTAAAAATATATATATTCAGGGGGCTATAGCTCAGTGTTAGAACACTTGCCTACCATTTGTGGGGCCCTTTGTTTGATCCCTAGTATCACCAAAAAAAGAAAAGAAAAAAGAAAAATCCTCTTTACCTGTGCTTTGTATATCCCCTTTAGTCACTATTTATTTATTTATCTATCTATCTATCTGTCTGTTAACAGTGTTGGGGTGATTATGCTAACAGATTTAGATAAAGTTTCAGACAAAGTAAAATTTTGGGTTATCTTGAATGGAGAATAGTCTATGGAATATAATTTGAAAACATCTTGATTTAGGCCAGAAGAAAGGATACTGTCCTTGGATTGAACTTGGCTGTTGCCCAGGTGGATCTGGATAACCTTGATCTAGCCACTACTCCCTGACCCCAGTACTGGGGATCAAACCCAGGCCCTCACATGATAGGCAAGTGCTCTACCACTGCACCCCTAGCCCTAGCCACTTTTGTTGCCACCCAAAGATTAATTTCCCTCCTAATGGATGATTTGGCTCTCCCACTCAGAACCAAGTTTCAGCTAATTGTGTGATTAACTCTGCTTTCCAAAGGATAGTTTTTACAGTTGCTAATACCCTGAAACATTATCGAACCCTAAGGTATAAAAACAAATATTTACCTAAAATAATACATCTGAGGCTGTCTTCTCCATTATTTTTTCCTTGGATGTAACATATTTTCCTTCTTTGTTTTTTTTCTTTCTTCATAAAAATCTGCATCTCTTTCTTCTGTGTTTCTCTTCTTTCCTTTGATTATCCTTCTTGCTTTACCTCTCTCTCTTGACTTTTTATTTATTGAAATAAAGAATTTAGCCAGGTGCTGAGCATGGAGGTGGACACCACTAATCCTAGTCACTCAGGAGGCTAATAAAACAGGAAGATTGTTAGCTCAAGGCGAGCCTCAACAACTTAGTGAGACCCTGTCTCAAAATAAAAAATAAAAAGGGCTGAGGAGGCCTGGGGTTGTAGCTCAGTGGTAGAGTGCCCCTGAGTTCAATCTCCAGTACCATAAAACAAACAAAATTTAGGTATATTCTCTGAAGTATATACTTAATTATTCATATGTACTTGTAATTATTCTACTTAATTTTTTAAAAATTAAAAAAAATATTTCATACTAAAGATTGAACCAAGCCCTTTTTATTTTTTATTTTGAGACAGAGTCTCACTAAGTTGCTTAGGACCTCACTAAGTTGTTGATACTGGTTTTGAACTTGCAATCCTCCTGCCTCAGCCTTCCTAGCTGCTGGGATGATGGTGCCACTGTGCCCATTTCTAAAGTATTTTAATAATTATTGTTAAGTGTCATGTTTGTGGTTTTTACTTTTTTTTTTAAATATTTTTTAGATGCATGGATCTTTATTTTATTCATTTATTTATATGTGGTGCTGAGAATCGAACCCAGTGCCTTACACATGCTAGGCAAGTGCTCTACCACTGAGCCACAGCCTCAGCCCCAGTGGTTTTTACTTTTTAAAATAGATTAATTGAAACACTCATGTTATTATGAATAAATTAGTTTGCTATTCATAATTGGTCTTGAATATGCCCACTCCCACCTGACCTTGCAGTTGTTAAATGACTCCTGGTAGAAGAAATGATTTCCTACCAAGATACTGTAGTAATGCTGTGATAATATTGTTTTATTTGAATTTCTTTTTTCTAAAGGCAACAATACTGGGAAGTCTTTCTAGTTTGTATGGCTCTCTGCATACCCAAAGTCTTGTACAACTGACCATATTAGTTTTGCTAAGACCTAGTTAGCATTCATACTATGTGCAAGTGCCATGATGGTGCTAACAGCATGGGAGGGATTTTTCATTTCCATAATCTTTATTTTCTGGTCTGGACAATTCATCCCTTCCTTAGTCTGAACTGGAGAACTGAGTGGACACATTCTCTTTCCAGCCAGATTCTTGTCCCTCAAGGCCTTTCCAATTCAAGGGTTTTCCACAGCTCTCACAGTACAGTTCTGCAGTAAAATACACAACAGCATGATCTTGAAAAATTGATATATTGAAGGAATGGTTACAAAATAACTCTCTGTTTACAAAGGATTTATGTTGGAATGTTTTTAAAGTGCATGTTTTCTTTATGATTTAAACCTTTCAGAAAGGCTTCTTATGGGTAAATAAAATTATCTTTCTCCCCCCTTGTCTGACATAGATATCCTTGTGCTGCACCTCACGGCTAGTCGTGTGTTTACCTCCATTTTAACAGCAATACCCCACACGGAGCTTTGGGTGGACTAAGAGACCCTGGTTAAGACAGCAGCAGCTACCCTCATTTCAACCACGTCACTCCACTTTGAATATTTCCCATCTCTAAGCGGAGAAGCAAATATGCCTCTTATTCTAGGAAAAAGAGAAAATGATCAGGAGGACAAGTTAAACAGTACACGTACTTTAAGTGAAGGAGAAAAAGATCAGGATGTCATTAGTAGATCACTTCCTCTAAGTAAAAGAGAAAATGTTCAGGAGGAAAAGTTTGAAGATGCCTATGAAATTATCCCTATGGCAACAACAATGAATCTCCTGTCTTCCTTGGAAGAATGCACAACTGGACTATACTTATTTCTAAATAACAGATTCACAGATGCAATAAATCTCATTTACCCGTGGTCTAAAAACAGCACATACCATGCCCTATTATACAGTATGCTTATGGTTGTGAAAGCCATCCTGACTTTTGATCCACAGGACATACAGATTGGGATGAATGCTGCAAAGGAAGCTTTGAAAACCTGTAACAATTTCCGAAGAAGAACTAGGATAATGACTTTATCTCGTATAGTGAGTAGACAGGGAATAAGAGGTGTCAAAGAAGAAGAATTACATGCAGAAGTCTGCTATGCTGAGTGTTTGATCTTGAAATCTTCCATAGCATTTATACAGGATGACAGTATGATTAGTTTTCTTAAAAGTGGGCTCAGCGTTGGGTCAAGTTATCAAATATACAAAGATTGTCAACAGGTATTAACTCTTATGCCTCACGGCCACAGCAAAGCCCACAGACACTTGGTTGGAGGGATAAAATTTGGACTTGGATCATTTAATTTGATGTTATCACTTGTGCCACCAAAGACACTTAGACTTCTCAATGTTGTTGGACTTTCTGGGGAGAGAGAGGTAGGCTTGGCTTTGCTTCATGAGAGTGCATCTGAAACTCATATAAATAATATTTTAAGTGTTTTCACTCTACTCTTTTATTACAGTTACATCCATGTAGCTTTTGGTGTTGAAAAAGTTTCCAGTTTGGCTACAGAGAATCTCTTCCTCATATACCTCCAGAAATTTCCAAACTGTGTTGTACTTAAATTTTTTCATGCACGTTTTAGTATGTTGAGAGGAAATTTTGAAAAAGCACAATTGAAATTACATGAGTGCATTTTTACTCAGAACGAATGGAAACAGGTTCACCACCTCTGTTACTGGGAACTCATGTGGTGCCACATTTTTCTGCAGGATTGGAAGCAGGCTTACAACTATGCCCATCTACTGTATATACATAGCAGATGGTCCAAGGCAATATATGTGTACAGTAAAGCTATCATATTGGCTTTACTTCCTCCTGATTTTGTGAAATCACTAAATGATAACATGAACTCTCTCTTCTTAAATGTGGAAAACCTGAGAATCAAAATTTTAGGCACCCCTGTGCCAATAGAAAAGTTTGTTGCTGAGAAAGGTCAGCGCTATGGTACTACTACAGGCTGGTTTGCGGCACAGCCCCTTCTGGAATTCATTTATGCCTGGAGTGGTTTCCGAGTCATGAGCAAAAAAGTAGAGCTTATTTCAAGCTGGCTATCAATAATTAACAAAGGAAAAGACCTTTTGCAGGAAAATCCAAATGAGGAATATGGCACAGATGACATAAGTTTCTTAAATTTGCTGAAAGGGCTATGCCTGAAACACCTAGGCAAATATTTGAAGGCTGAGCATTACTTTAATCGTGTTATTCAAAAGGAGAAGTTTTTAAAATATGACCACTATTTGGTGCCATATACTTACTATGAACTTGGAATTCTACACTATCTGAAAGGAGATTTTGCCAGTGCAACAAAATATCTAGACAACATAAAGAACTATAAAGACTATTCCATGGAAGCCCGGTTACAGTTTAGGGCTCATATAGCCCTTGAACAAATAGCTAAAGAAAAGTGATTTAAACACAAAGTGTGCTTTTGTTTAGCACAAGTGGAATATCTACAACCAGCAAAATAATTAGCAGGTAGAAAAATCATTTCTTTGTGGAAAAGAAATTCAAGAGGCAGCTGCTAAGATCTGATCAGTAACAAATAAGAAAGGAATTGGCCATTTCTTTCCGCTCTTTTTTTTCTCCTTATGTTTAAATGTGATGATTAGACTTGCAAATGGAGTGACCGAACATTCTTGAAAAAGAAAAGGCAAATGCTTTCTTCACATTGTAAAAATATTGTCTTAAAACTTCCAAGGCAGTTTTTAACACCAACTTAGATAATGTATACAACTTACAAATAAAATAGGAAAAGTGGCCACACTCAGGATACCAGAGGCCTGTAAATGTTTTTTTTATTTAATTTTAAAGAAAATGATCTCGAAGGTCTTACTGATGATATTTCAGTGATAACACAGAATAGCATAAATTCTGAATGTTTTTCCCTTACATACAGTCACTTTTATTGGCTTTTTGTATCAGAGAATAATTTTTCCATTGGGTGAAGGGGAGTATTTTTTAACTTTTTTCATTAGGAAATTCAAATAAAGGTTTGTAATTTCCCACAGGATAGCAAAAAAAAAAAAAAAAAAAAAAAAGCACACCTCTCCTGCTACACACATAAACCCTTGGGAGATAATTGGGACCAAAAGGATATGTCACTGGGTAGAAAGAAAAGACCAGGCTCTTGGAGGAAGAGGAACCCTCCCTTTCATTGTGCTCCCTAAAATGTTAATTCTTATTAAGATCAGCTCTTCAACATAATTAAACCTCCTGTATCTATCCATTGTTGCTTGGCTAATCTGAGATTAAATGGAAACTATAAGGGATGAGGCAACATTGTTTTACCTGCCTTAGAGATAAAAATCAGTTCCTAAAGACCAGACCAGTAAGTCAGGATAAATATAACCGTCCCCTTTGTAGTCACCCTTTGAAACAGGTTGCTGGGGAAAGTGTTGCTTGGTAAAACACAGTAGTATAGTACATTATCTTAATACTTTGGGTGTCCAAATAGCCAATTGGAGCACAATGAGGCACCAATAGTTCATATTTAGCATTAATTGCTTTTAAAAATATTTTCCCCATAAACTTTTATGTGAACAATAGTGCTTAGTTATTCCCCATTATTTAATTAGTATGGTTTAGTGGTTAAGAGGTTAAGAGGTAGTTGCTTGCCCAACTAGGAGATTTGTATTCTAGCTCTGTTACTAAATAACTGTATGATCCTGGGTGTGTCTGCTTTCATTTCCTTAGCTGTAAAATAGGGATAACAATAGTACCTATCTCATGGTTTTACTATGTAAAGATAGAGCCAATAAGCCTCTTTTATTATTATTACTGGTACTACTAACAATAATACCACATTATTCTTTAGGGCAGAAAACTTTCTTGGAAAAAGGTCCCTTTTCTTTCTGCCTTGCCAGTGTAAAATTTGACCTGTTAGTTTGCTTTCTCTGTTCTCCATTTAGCCTGGTCACTTAAACAAGTAACTCTGTCTAAATTGCAGTTTAATGTTTTGTAAAATATCCCAGCTTCTCCCTATAAATAGCAAATTAGTTGATTGATTAAACAAATATGTATTGAATGCCTACTGTATGCAAACACTGAAACACAGTACTGAAGACATACTATAAAGCATGATCTCTTTCCTGAAGGCCTTATTAGGGAGGTAAATTGGAAAAGGGTTTCACTGGAGGTAGAAGCACTTAAAATACTCATTTGAACAGTTTATTTGCCCCACATAAAAACAATCTGAGGATAGATAGTTCAGGTCTGCTATGACCCTTTTGTCTTTCTGTTTAGCATGAAACCCTTCTCATGCTTGTCTCCTCATAGTGGGAAGAGGCTGCCTTACCTCTAAGCCTTGTGTCCAAGCCCAATAGGCTGAAAAGATAAGGGACAAAGGGGCTTTCTCTCTGCTAGGTGGCTTTGCCTTCTTATTTCAGAAAGGAATACCTTGCTGGACATGGTGGCACCTGTAACCACAACATTTGTGAGGCTTAGACAGGAGGATTGCAAATTCAAAACCAGCCTCAACAATTTATGAGGCTCTACACAATTTCGTTTCAAAATAAAAAATAAAAAGGACTATGGATGTGGCTCAGGGCCCCTGGTTTAAATCGCTGGAATAGGGGATGGGGTCGGGGGAGGAAGAACTGCCTTCCTAGGGACTTGATGTACATCTCAATTGCTAGAAATATTTGTATAGCCCCTGTTAGTTGCAAGGGAAAATGAAGATTGAATTTTAGCTTTCAAACCTCATTAGGAGGTTTTTGGGAGAGTTGTTCAGTGGACCAACATACGGTAGCTGCCACAACAAATATGTAAATAACAGACTACCAAAGGGTTTGAGTGTGGTGACTCACACCTATAATCCCACCTATTTGGGGGCTGAGGCAGGAGGATCATGAGGCCAGCATGGGTAAGTTAGTGAGATCCTGTCTCAAAACAGAACATGAAAAGGAATGGGGGTGTCATTCAGTGACAGAGCACTTGCCTAGCAGATGTGAGATCCCAAATCCAAACCCAGTTCTGCAAAGCAAAGCAAAACAATACAAACCAAAAAAAGGACAAAACACAAAACGGGGAGAGGGAGAACACTGCAACAATGAGATCAAGGAATCACTGGAGAAGACCAAATAAGGACCTGACAAGAAATCTTGGAATGGCATTACTTTTGTGAAGTTGCTACCCACTGAGCCCAGATTCTAGCCCTTACCAGTCCAAGACTTACTTAGATACAGAGACTAATTGTATCCAAATTCACAGGAGATTGAAGTAGAATTTACTAATTTCTTTGTTTCTTGTAGAGGCTTTCCCAGAGTTGCAAACTTAAATTTCTATAGGGATCAGGAAGGTAATGTAAATATATGAAGCAACCAAGCATAAAATAAGAGTGGTAGAAACTAGCTTCAGTGAAGAGATGACACAGTGTAGGTCATATTAGACCTAGCTGCATGTTTTGCTATGACTTATTGGTCTCCAATTAGTGACTTATCATCTATCCTTTCTATTGACTAGAAAGTTCTCGTGTTTCATCTTGAACACGATCTGTCCTGATAAACAGTGTACCTGGAAAATCAACAGTCACAAAGCAGCATGCTGAGGATGGAGTTAAGACAGAGTAAGGCAGATAGTTTTAGGAATATCTATGCCATGTCAGTGTAACACCTGATGAATCATCCGTTCTCACACTATGCATCCATCCTGGGAAAATGTCTCCCAAATTCTCAGGACTCTAAGACATATTTCTCAAACCCCAGCTTTCAGATTTTTCTTCTCTGCCTTCTGCTGTTAACCATGGGTTACTGAATATTCAGGAAAGGTACAATACACTGTTTCCATTTACTAACATACAAGCCATTTCAACCCTGTTTCCTGGCTTAGAATTTCAGTTGTTCCCACATGCTTTGGTCATTCAGATTACAGATGGTCTCTTTGTGCAAATGAATCACAGATCTAATCACATCCATTTAATTTAACTTTTTGGGTCAGTTTATAAGAGACTAGAGGAGTTATCTCATGGTTGCCTTTTGTACCGTAAACACAAATAAGACGCTATTGAAGCACTTTTTATGCAATGAAGAAATTTTCCTATCCAATTTAATGAAAATAATTACTACTGGAAGAGGCCCAAGAGCCTGGGGGAAAAAAATGAATGGGAAGGGAAGGGCTTATGCATAAAGAACAAAGAGAATTTTTGTTACAGACCTGAGTCCTCAAAGCTCTCAGCATGTCCTTGCCCCAATCCAATCAATGAGTAAATTATGTTGATTACTTCTTTGAAATATCTTTTGAATTTTTTTTTTTCATTTTCACTTTTTTCAGCCTAGACTAGGACTTCACTTTTTGTCTGGACTACTGCAGTTGTCTTTAGGAACAGTAATTCAGTGGTGAACATCCTGTTTTGTTCCAAGGAAATTCCAAGGCAAAATAAAAATTGCCAACCCCACATTTTTTTTTCAAATAAAAATGAAATCTATATAAAGCATGTATATTTTTGCTACTTCAATTTCTCACTTCATTAGATAGATAGCCACAGAATTTTAGTCATAAAGATTTATTTTAATTTTTTTTCTTTAGACATGCTAGGCAAGCATGCTACCATTGAGTGACATCCCCAGCTATAAAGATGTTATTGTCTTGGCATATTTATCTGAGAATATTTGAGAAGCAACATAAAAATAGTTTTCTAGGCTTTCAAACTTTTGCTTAGTTCTTCAAAATTCATAAAGTCTGTTCACTTAAGAAAACAAGCCTATCTTTATGTTAAGGGAACCACTCCTTCTCTGAGAAGGTAAAATCCCTCTGGCAGGCTGGATGAAAATGATCAATTTGGAGACACCCCTCTTCAAAAATCATATCTCATGCAAGTTTCCATGGAGATGACCTGTAATATCAGCGATTTGGGAGGCCAAAAATGAGACAGAAGGAACACAAATTTGAGGCCAACCTCAACAATTTAGTGAGGCCATCTCAAAAAAAAAGGCTGGGGATGTGGCTTAGTGGTTAAGTGTGTGTGTGTGTGTGTGTGTGTGTGTGTGTGTGTGTGTGTGTGTGGCCCTGAAGCTAGAGAATCACTAAGGCTCAGGAGTTCATGACCAGCCTTGGAAACATAGCAAGACCTGGTCTCAGAAAAAGAAAAAAACATCCACTTAGTGTTAATCTTATTAATCTTTAGGGTTGTGAGTGTAGCTCAGTAGTAGAGGATTTGCCTAGAATGTGTTCCATCCCCAGGACCTCCAACAAGAAAATTAGTATTGGAAAGTTCTTAGAATAGTACCTGTCACAAATGAAAGGAAAGCGAGAAACTGGGAAATGGGTGAGCTATAAATGAAAGACACAGAGCAGGCAGAGATACACACAAGAGTTTATTTGTCAGAGTTGACAAATAGAGGCACATCTCTCCATAGACTGAAAGAGGCAAAACAGCTTTGGGGTTCAGGACTTTTATGGGGCAGGCTCAGGGATTAGAGCCAGATGGGTCCTAATGCAGGCGGTGAAGGGTTGGGTTGGTATGAGGGAGGGGTGAGCCTTTCTCAGAAGTGCCCTTTAGCAGGAAAGCGAAATTTTTCTTAAAATGTCTGTTGTCACTTAAGATGGCCATCCAGATGCTAAGCAAGGACCTTACAACAAGCTCTAACAAGCTGAGAAGTTTTTTAAAGAAATACAAATTCAATTCAAATTGAGCAACTATTAAATTCCAGGCCATGTGCTAGAGGTTAAATATATAGTAGTGAACAAAACAAGCATGGGCTCTGCATGATGTGCAGGAGTCAGCCTAAACTGATCCCAAAAGCCCATTGTTAAGTATTTAGGAGATATTTATATTTATTTAGGTTTTTGTACAGGGATTGAACCCAGGGGTGCTTGATTACTGAAACACATCCCCAACCCTTTTTTAAAAAAATTTTTAAACTTTATTTAGAGACAGGGTCTCACTGTGTTGC